AACTCGATTAACAAAAAAGGAAAAAGACAGTATTTATGATGCAAAACAATCCCAAATTGACTTCTCGAGAACGCTATAGTCGAGTACCTCGACTATCAGATACCCTCTACTCAGCAAGCAGTAAAGCGACGTTGACATGCGCCACCTACCCGCGATCTCAATATATGGTTATACCGGCGGTATACAGATGTAAGCGCTATGGGCGTTAGAGTGGGCGTGCCAATTTTTTTTTGGACCAATCGATAGGTATTGACGAGACCAATACATTTCAGTTAAAATTTTTTATCTAGCATAAAAATTGTGGGCGTCACAGGTTTTCGCGGTTTGTGGGCGTTAGAGTGGGCGTGGCATATTCGCGTAACAAACTTGCGCTGCGTATAAGGCTACGGAATCTAAATCTGAAATTCAAGTTCTCTATCTTTGATAGTTTCCGAGATATCCACGTTCATATTTACGATTTTTTGAAGTTTGTGGGCGTTAGAGTGGGCGTGGCATATTTGCGTAACAAACTTGCGCTGCGTTTTCTGGCCATGGCTAGATCGACTCGGTTAGTGATCCTGATCAAGAATATATATACTTTATGGGGTCGGAAACGCTTCCTTCTGCCTGTTACATACTTTCCGACGAATCTAGTATACCCTTTTACTCTACGAGTAACGGGTATAATTATTTGCACTGTACACAGAGATATGACGCTGGGTGTATATGTTGTCAAGATTAAAATAAGTCATGGCAACCTTTTGAATTTGAGTAAACGTGAATGTTTATATACCCGTTACTCGTAGAGTAAGACGGGTATACTAGATTCGTCGGAAAGTATGTAACAGGTAGAAGGAAGCGCTTCCGACCCCATAAAGTATATACATACACTGCTGGTCTTAGGTTAGTTGCACCAACTTTTTTTTTTTAAATAAAATGCTGTATTTATAATAATGTTTATTCTAATTGTCCAAAAAGCTTTTCTTATCAGAGTTCGAATCTTGTTCGAAAAATAAGTGCTCACAGCTGGTTGATTTGCGAAATAATAACTGTACATTCGAAGATTTCATAAATTTCTATGGCAATCACGCGTGTTTTCAGTTGGTCATTGAAATAGACGCACTTTAGATTTCTTTGTCTTGCGTAAACAAGTGCAGTTTTTTGTATTGAGAAAATATTAAAAATAAACAAATAAATTGTTTTAGAGCTATATTTAAAGTAAAAATGGAAAAGCTGGTGCTTTGAGCATATTAGAACGCCAAAAAGTAGACTTTTTTCACTCGCAAGGACTGTCCAATCGAAACATTGCCAAATTGATAGATATTTAAAAGATCCAGAGGAATATGGAAAAGGCTTCAAAGGAAAAAAAAGAGCACTATCTAAACGAGCAGTGCGCAAAATTGTTAGAGTTGCATCAAATTCTGGATCTGTATATTCTGGATCGGGATCAGTAGCCGAGTCGATCTAGCCATGTCCGTCTGCCCCTATGAACGCTGTGATTTTGGAAACTGTAAAAGCTGCAATACTGAATTTAGGCATACATAAGTTCATTTCGTCAGTGTGCCACGCCCACTCTAACGCCCACAAACCGCCGAAAACTGTGGCTCCTACAGTTTCAATGTCTGAATAAAAATGTTAACAGAAATGTATTGCTCTCATCAATTGGCCCGAAAAAAGTTTGCCACGTCCATTTTAACGCCCACAAACTTCCAAAAATCGTAAATTTGAACGGGGATATCTCGGAAACTATCAAATATAGAGAATTGGAATATCAGATTTAGATTCCGCAGCCTTGTACGCAGCGTTAACGCCCATAACGCTTAAATATGTCTACCGCCCACATAACCATATATTGAGATCGTGAGTAGGTGGCGCACTTCTATCTCACTTTGCTGCTTGGATATCTCCATCTCCCTTTGGTCCCTTTAGCTTAGTAACGGGTATCTGATAGTCGAGGTACTCGACTATAGCGTTCTTCCTTGTTATACATAAAATCAATGTATATTTATTTAAATCGTCTTCGGAAAAAAATGAAAAATACCCGCAAACAGAACAAAATTGATTTCGAGATGTTTCATACTCGTTTTGTGGGGACATTATGCTGATTTAAAAATGTTATATTCCGAAGACAACTTTCTTTCATATGGGAGCTATTGAATATGCACTAGAATATCCCCATTATAATTTAGAATATAACAAAAACAGCATTATAACATTATCGATATCTGGTAACACTAAAGTGTAAGCCACGCGGATAATCCTTCTCTTACTTTCGTGATCTCTAAATCTGTGGTTGGTTGAGCTGTGCTATATAAAGAATAATATAATTAAAACTAAATAACATCGATTGAACTTATTTAAACGTAGAATCCCAACAGGTTATGGGCCCAGACTACGCCTAATATATTTAGAGTTGGATGTGTTAAGAGTTATAGACGAGAACATTCCTGAAAAACTTGACGATTCCTGGAAAAGGGCAGAGCGTTGTGCCTCTTTCTTAAACTTTGCGACACGCGACAACACGGCGCGATAAATTCTCAAAAATTTTTACGCCATCTATGAACGCAAGAGTCTCGCGTCGCAGTTAGCTGTTCGGAAAAGATTGCTGTCGCTGAAGTTGCAGAGTGAGACAGCACTATTATGTCATTTTAATATTTTCGATGAATTGATGAGTGAGTTGTTAGCCTCAGGGGAGAAAATCGACGAAATGGACAAAGTGTCGCACTTGCTATTGACCTTGCCATCGTCATATAATGGGGATATTCCAGTGCATATTCAATACGCCCCCTCAAAAATTGCAGTATAACATTTTCGATATCTGGTAACACTAAAGTGTAAGCCACGCGGATAATCCTTCTCTTACTTTCGTGATCTCTAAACGTGTGGTTGGTTGAGCTGTGCTAAATAAAGAATAATATAATTAATCACATCGATTGAACTTATTTAAACGTAGAATCCCAACAGGAGCAGATAATAAAACTAGAAAAACGGTTTTATTGATATAACAAATCCCATAAAATATTTTCATAAAATCGCCTTAAACCGACATTAAAGCATACAGTGGCCAACAGATTTTAAGAAAAATAAAAATTACGTCCATTTAAGTTTTACTTTTTATGGGCAGTTTTCCATCATAGAAAATTAAAAAAATTTCCAACTTTGTCGTCAAATTCCAAAGACATGCGTATTGGTTCAGGATGGGGACTATTTTTTAGCAATGCCGTCATGTATTGAGAGAGTTTTTCAGCGAAAACATTTAAGATGTGTCCAATTATGTGGGCCATATAATTCAACATGTCAGGAAACACCGGTTTTTTGTATTCTTAGCTATAGTATACCGCGTAACCTGTTGGTGATAAAACACAACTTTGTATAGGACTTTGGCTCTGGAGGACCCAATTATTATGGAAAACTAAAAATGGTTTGTGGAAAATTTTGGCTGTGTACCTGTGTTAAAATCATTATTTTTCATATTTCGTATAGCTTGCCAGCTGTACATATATTTTTGAATTCCAAGTTTACCTCTGCACGAAATAAGCTGTGAGCCTGTAGTTGTAAAATGGGACGAAGAATAAAACACGGTTTGTCTCAAAATGTATCCACATTTCAGCCAAAGTAGAGCGAGACACTTAGTTTTTCAGTTTTCTATATACCTACATACATAGGTATTTTTACCTCTGCTTAACTCAAACCCTCCAAAATTATTCAGAACGCTTCACTGGCATTTGTGAGGCCTCGCCCATCGGATCTTATCACCTAGACAATCTGTCACGCTCGTGACATCTTGTTGCCCCTCCAAAAATATTTGTGTGTCACGGATTTACCTCGCAGTAGTTCATTTAATTTAAGCTGGGGTCCGCGTTCGACTCGATTGCAGATTCATCAGTGCCGAGAATGCATATTGATAAGTCAGATCAAACAGAGCGTGTGCGATGTACTGCTGAAAAGGGAAAGGAATAGCGAGATTGATAAATGCGAGTTCGTTTTAAAAGCTTATTTTTCAGATGACCAAACGGGAGACAGCAATGAGTAAACAAGAGCCACAGAGGGTAATAAAGTTGATTGCAGCAGTGGCAAATTGAATATTTGCCTGTGTGTTTGTGCTGCGTTTGTATTTGTTCGCATTGTTAAATGTCCGCATCAGCAGAGCAGCCAAATTGAATGAGATGATAAACGCCAACGGGAGAGCGGAGAGAACGAGTGGCTACCATTGTTAACGGTAGTGACAAGAGCGGGCAACCCCTTCTCTCTTGTCCTCCCCCCGCCTACGTCGAGCAGCTTGCTACCAAAAATTCCAACCCCTACTCTCTGAGTCGCTCTCCCCACCAAGCTGTTGCTTCGGCTTCGCGTACAATTGTTGCTTTGTGGACGGCGCTCTCTTCTGCGGCTGCTGCCAATCCTGGTATTCTTCGTTTATCCCGCGTGTGCTTGGCGAATTCCGCTCACAAACCACTTACTGATATCACTCCTCGGATTACTCACTCGCCTCAGAACGGCGATAACTGCCACTGCCACAAACGGCACTGCAGCGTCGATAAGTGCTCTTCTCTGCGAAAATAACACTGTCCTACAAAATTCGACCCAGATGCGTATTGTTATAATGGCGTCTATCCCCAAGCAGTTATGCACGTTACGTACCTATGAAAAGCAACGACCTACAATAGTTTTCAAGTTTAAAACGTGGTTTGATGTTAAAGAAGACGCAAACGAATTCGCACCCTGTTTTCTCACGTATAAACCAAGTTCAACATGTACGGATGCCGACTACGACGCACAAAAATGTTTGAGGTCTCTTGATCTGGCGAATGTGCTATGCAGCACAGTGTAATTAAGCATTGAATTGCCAGCAGGTCCTCGGCTATTCTCCGATTGTTTACATCGCGGAGGCGGAACAACAACAACGTCCTCCGCCGCGCCAAGAGAGCGCGGCGGAAAAGCGAGAGATGCTGCTCTCCGCTCTCTCGCTGGCCGGCGCTCTTGTGCTGCTGCGCCGCCTATTCGATTTGCAGGAAAATTAAGTTCGCTGGCTTGCAGTTGTGAAAAGCGACGAGGAGAGCAGCGGCGCACTCTCCGCAAGGAAGCTGCCAACGAAAGCCGAGTGAGAGGAGAGGTGACAAGTGAAAAGTGGCAAGTGGCAAGTGGCAAGTAGATGTACCAAAATGTGACAGTGCCACAAGTGCTAATCGCAAGTCAGCCGCCCGTTGTAGCAGCAGTATTTCGCCCGAATTCGCTTTTAAGTTTGGTTGATGCCTCTCCGTCCGCCCGCTTAAGAAGCGTGTGTATACACACACTGATAGCTGGCCGGGCGAGTGTGTGAGTGTGGTTAATTTTGCCGTGTTGCCGAACATCTGTATCTGTATCTGTATCTGTGGCAGCCAATAGTTGTGGCAAGGCCCTCGAGCTGCTCGCAACACAAAGCACAACAACAGCAGCATCCCCAATAAGTGGCAGCAACTGCGACGCAACGGCAGCCGCGTTTGTTGTTAATTGAAATAAATTGAAATAAATTCCCCGACTTTGCTGCTCATATTGTTAATAAAGAGCAGCCGGAGCGACGCAACAGTGGAAAGTGGAATCAGCGGCAGTAAACAAAACAGTGAGCAAATGTGGTTTTAGTTCTACGCCAGGCGTCAAACAACTTTGTGTGAAAGCGAGCGAAGTACCATGAAAATCGAAGGCATTCGCATTCCGTGCTAAATAAGTGAAGATCTCAATGTTATCATAGGCACTGCGTGGCAGTAACCAAAAGAGCACAGGCGTTTATTTATAGCCGGCAGTGTGTTCCCATTAGTAGTGAGTGTCTGCCTTGCATGCCCACTTGCAAACACATAGGTCGACGATTAGTTGGCAGAAGTTGCGGGGAAATGACATTGCCAACCCAGGTCCTACCAACTCACTCAGAAGAACAACCTGCATCCTCTCCTCTCTCCGCTCGCACGCAGATCTAAAAAAGCTGCCGAAAGCCCTCAATAGGCCCATGGATATGAAAATACTTTCTCGTCGAGTCAGATTCCCAGAACACAATTGTTTACACTATTCGATTATTGTTTAGATAACAGCCACTTATGCGAACTTCCACTTGAGTACAAGCGAAAAACATACACGGATTGGAGGGGAGTGGTCTGCCACAAGCAAATCTGAAATTCCCCCTGCCAACAGCCAGCCCGTAATCAATTTCATATTTAATTTGTCCCCTCTATTGTCTCAGTCTCAATGGGCCCCCTCTCCCAAAAATCAATTTTATTTAATTGTGCATATAAGATTTCGTAAACAAATGCCACCCCTAACCTGCTGGGGTCATTGCTCTCAAGGTGAGTGGGTGCGTGAACACCCTGGCCCCCTAAACAAACGCCCAAGAAAGGCGCCGTAAAGTATGCAACGGCCACTGCGACCATCAGCATAAGCTAATATTAACGATTTTCTCACTTCATTTCCCGGCTTACTTCGCAGCATCCAGCTAAACAGGACATGCGCAGTGGTCTCTTTGGTAGTTGCAGTTTGGCCAACAGCGACTGAAAGAGCAAGGAGCGAACGCTATGGCCTTTTCCCGCCACAACATCGAGAAGCGCCGACTCATCGAGCTAGTGCGCCTGAACCCCATTCTTTGGGACTGCCGCCTTCCCCACTACAAGCGCTCTGACAAGCGCAAGGCCATCAAGTGGAACGAGTTGGGGCGGCTCTTCAACGTCAACGGGGAGCGGGTGCAGCGCACCTTTACATCGCTCCGCGAAATCTTCCGGCGGGAGCTGAACCATGAGAAGATGCTCGGCAGCACGCGCTTCAAGTCTAAATGGGAGTACTACGACGCCATGGCCTTCCTCAAGGAAGTCATTCGGGAGCGCAAGTAAGAACCTGCCTACTTTCCTTGTCACTGTACAACTTATTCAGTAAACCTATGAAAAGGGAAAGTAGGTCACATTATGCGTATAATTGGAAGCGAATCCTTACAGATTTTTGTCTATTTGAAAAATTTGATTTCTTGTTTAGAAAAACAAAGACTTCAATTACTTATGAGTACCTTCAATATTCTTATAAAGAAGTGTTGAGATGTTTTTGTTCAGAGATGAACCTAATTGTTGGTACAGCAAGCATTATAAACTTTACTTTAACTTTGACTTTGTCTTTTTAGGTAAGCTATGCTAATATTTGAGTAAGACTTAATTTTTAAATTACATAATGACTTATTCACAGTCCATTTCAAGATACTTCATTATTTTAGCCTTTATAGAATTAAGTTTATACTTAAAAATTAAAAAAACCAAAAATTTGGTTTCATTTCACTCTACAAAATTATTGACACACTTGTGTTGTAAATAACTATATCGTTATTTCCGTTTTCTTTTTGCTAAGTCCGCTTTCCCCTTATACTCGTAATGAAATATTGCTAAATTTGTAACCTGTTAGTAGCTTAAGTTAAAAAAATGGTTACATTTAGAAAAGTAATTATTAAACATGCTCATCTTAGCAAAAAAAAATATTTCATTTGCAAATCAGGGATGCCAATATAAGGCTCGCCTTCGGAATCTGTGTCCTTTTTACCTTCTCTTGTGCTAAAAAAAATCCTTTCCCAAAGCTGCAGGCTTCGATAAGTTGACCTTTAAAAGCAAGTTAAAACAAAAGCCGCCCCAATCATCAGAACTCTACCCTAATATTTAAACATTAAGAAGTTAAACAAAATTGAAAATATTTTTTTTTGGGTTTCTTAATGAATTTTAACGAACTGATATTAACCCAGCGCAGGCACATATGTTTTCAAGAATTTGAGTTCTACATTTATCTTTTCAGATCCCGTGAGCGGATCAAACACGGCTCCTTGGATCCGGTTCCTGTGACCACAGGAAGCAGCAACAATAATAACGTTAGCCGCAACAGTAGCAACAACAACAGCAGTAGTGCAGCCCTGGATGAGTATCAGTATTTTGCCCCTAGCGACCCCAACAACCCGAACAACCAGCCCCAGCCACAACCCACGTTGAAGAGCAGCCTGCCAGCCGTGACTATACCCAGTCTAGGTCTCAGTCTCAGCCAGTTGCCAGCTGCTCTGCAGCAGCAGGCTCAGCACCTCCAAGCCCTTCAGTTGCAGCCGGATGTGACGCTGACCTCGCTGCAGAAACAGCCTGTGTCCAACTCACTTTGCCTGGCCACACCCTCGGCCCTGGCACACACCTCGCCCACCCAGGTGTTGTCCAGCTCGCGCTCCTGCAGCTCTTCTCCTTCCATCTACATCAAGGACGAGCCGGGATCCCCGGAAGTGGGGCGCCCAGATGATGGGGTGCCCGAAAAAGAACCAGATGCGACGCAAAAGAAGCTGGCCACCATTCGACCGCAAACCAAACAGCAACTCAAGGCTCGGCTGCAGCTACCGACGCCCAAAAACTCATCGTCTTACGCCACCTCGCCGCCCCATTTGATCATCAGTGCCAACAACGAGCTTATCGACGCCGACGCCGGGGACCTGGAAGAGGATCTGGACGACTTCGACGAGGATGACGACGTGACCGGGCATTGCTCCCCAGTCGTCGGCCAGTCGGAGATGATGGGCGGCGACGGGGGGCTATCGGCGGGGAGCAGCTACATCGGAGAGAGCGGGGGCTGCGGAAGGGGCCTGGGTCGATCTCACGTCCAAACGCGCCACACACCAAGCTCCCGGGAAATGCTCTACATTAAATTTGGCGACTTCCTCGCCGCTAGACTAAACACTTTGCATGAGACTGTAGCTAACGAGCTAATGAACAAGATGCTACTGCTGATCGCCGAGAAGTGAGGTTAACGGGAACCCGAAAATGACCAAATCTGGACCGGAGAAGGTAAGTGCTTTAAATATGTAGGTAAATGCGCATTTGCAAAGATCTCTATATCGATTCGAAAGAAAATAAAGTGATGAAAGAAAACTGAAGAATCTATAACGCTATTCAAGGACTTCGCAGTGCCTTTTAATATCCTTGAATAAGTTCATGTTATATATATATATATAATATACGAATTGGTTCAAAAGATATTTGCATATATTTTTACAAAATAGTAAGTAAAAGGGTATACAAGATTAGTTGAAAATTATGTAACAGGTAGAAGAAAGCGTTTCCGACCCCATAAAGTATATATATTCTTGATCGGGATCACTAGCCGAGTCGATCTAGCCATGTCCGTATGAACGCTGAGATTTTGGAAACTATAATAGTTAGAGTCTGTATGCAGATTCTTGGGCTTCGTGCGCAGCGCATGTTTTTTTTAGCAGGGTGCCACGCCCACTCTAATTTAAGCTGATTAACGATACGCATCAAGTTAGCAAAACAACTTTTGATATCCTAACTTTTTTCCTATTGACAATATGCCGTTAATTATCCGTAAATTATTCGTGAAAGAAATAAATTAGCCGCTTAATTTTTTTAAAAATTATAAGGTGTTTTGCTAAGTTGATATCAAGTTAGCAGTACAACTCCTTAAACTTGAACTTTTCGAAAATGTTTTTAACTGGTATTTTGCCGTTATTTATCCGTAAATTATTCGTGAAAGAATAAATTTTGTCGCTCCATTTTTAAAATTTATTTTTTTAAAAAACTTAGTTGTTCTGCTAAGTTGATATCAAGTTAGCAGTACAACTCCTTAAACTTGAACTTTTCCAAAATGTTTTTAACTGATATTTTGCCGTTATTTATCCGTAAATTATTCGTGAAAGAATTAATTTTGTCGCTCCATTTTAATAATTTATTTTTTAAAAAACTTATTTGTTCTGCTAAGTTGATATTTTTATTTTTTAACTTTATGGGGTCGTAAACGCTTCCCTTTTACTCTACGAGTAACGGGTATAAAAGGCTGGAAATGGCTAAAATTAAAATGGCCACAGTCGCCTTATACTAAATACACGATTTAGATGTCATTGGAAAGAATTTAAGATCTAAACACTTTACTTAGACATATTTGTTATTAAATTAATTAAAGTTGCCTTACAGTTTTTTTTTTCTGGGTGTAACTTTCTCGCCCCCACTTTGTGCGAGCTTAAGAAACTATATATATTTTTGGTCAGGATCATTAGCCGAGTCGATCTAGCCATGTCCGTCTGTCCGTATGAACGCTGAGATCTCGAAAACTATAAGAGCTAGAGTGTTTGGACTTGGCTTGCAGATTCTTGGGTTTCCTGCGCAGCGCCAGTTTGTTTCAATAGGGTACAATGCCCACAAACGACTATAACACTAAAACCCGTCTAGCGCCGACATTTTTAAGTTTTTGTAAAAATTGTAACGAGGGTTTGTTTTTATTATCAATACATATCTATATGGTAAAACTTATTACCAGTCATACAAAAGTTATAACCAAATAATAATCAACTGTTTGCAATTCAATAGATGTGCACACCACATGCAGCAATATGCTGTTTTCACTATTACGCCACTAAGCCGCTAGGGGCGCTCTAGGCTAGTTGGCGCTGTAGGCCAAGTGGCGCCATAGAAGAAGAAGGTAGGTGACGCTATTGACTAGGAGAGTTTGTGAAAAAGCAGAGTTTCTTTCAGCATATCTCCATCCCTCTCGCATTCCCTTAAGCTGAGTAACTGGTATCTAATAGCTGAATCACTATGGACGGCAGTCCACTTAGTGACGAGCCCCCCAGGAGAGTGTGCGAAGGCGACTACTATATTTAGACAAAAAAATGAAAATCTACTGTATTAGTCCGATCGTAATGAGATACATCAATCGAATGGCATAGCAAAAACTTAAAGGTTTGCAACCCAAGACTTTAAAAAAATCAATTAGTTTGGGAGAAAAAACGGTGAAAGTTTAAAAGTGAATAAATGCACAAGTTCATTAGTCCCGTTGTGTATTCATTTAAAATACGCGTCAAATGGCACCTCATTTGCTAAAATCCGTTCAAAAGTAATACTCAAAAAAAGATTTTGTCGGACTTCTAAAATGAAAATTCAGATTTTTTTATTTTATTTTTAATTTCTCAAAAACTGCTCTAACTACTTCGGCTTAAACTTTATAAAGACCTTGTGATTCCTTAACTTTTGACATACGTTGTTGTAAAAAGTCACGTTTAAATGTTATTAATCAACAAATATTGCCACACTTAGCAGTTAAGAACATTGCCTGAGCATTTAATTTATTTTGTGAGTATGCATACTCTATTTTAAGGACGTGGAAATATTAGATGAAGTTAGACCACTTAATATAGGAATCTTTAGTTCTACCACTTTTGGAAAATCTGGCTAGTTTGGCGGGAAAACTGCTATAAATAGTTAAACTTAGTACACCCTTAAGTTGTAAACTTCTAAAGCTACAGGCTTGTGCTATATGTTGTTGGATAGGTTTATTGTCTAAATATCATCATTTAAAAATAATCGGCGAACTTTTTTTATTTAGATTTTGTAGATTTTTTTTATTTCTCAATAACGATTTCGGTTAAAACTTTAAACTTTGAGATTCCTTAACTTTGGACAACATTAAATTTTGTATGTGTGTATCCAAACGATATTTTAGGGTCGAGGAATCATTTAAATTGCTATCAACAGTTCAGTATAAGAAATCTTAACTCTACGGCTTTTGGGAAATAAAATTAATTATATGATTGATGTTTAAAGCAAACACTTGTGATATCAAGAAAAACACCCCATAACGACGTATAAATCGCACCTTCAACAAACAAAAGTTCTGATATCAACTTTTGTGACGAAAATGTATTATACGATCTACTAAATAAATACACTTTCTTCATTTTTATACCCGTTACTCGTAGAGTAAAAGGGTATACTAGATTCGTCGGAAAGTATGTAACAGGCAGAAGGAAGCGTTTCCGACCCCATAAAGTATATATATTCTTGATCAGGATCACTAGCCGAGTCGATCTAGCCATGTCCGTCTGTCCGTCTGTCCGGATGAACGCTGAGATCTCGGAAACTATGGGAGCTAGGCTATTGAGATTTGGCGTGCAGATTCCTGAGCTTCCTACGCAGCGCAAGTTTGTTTCAGTAGACTGCCACGCCCACTCTAACGCCCACAAACCGCCCAAAACTGTGGCTCCTACAGTTTTGATGCTAGATAGAAAATTTTAACTGAAATGTAATGTTCTCATCAATACCTATCGATTGACCCAAAAAAAAGTTTGCCACGCCCACTTTAACGCCCACAAACCGCAAAACCCTGTGACGCCCACAATTTTCATGCTAGATAAAACTGAAATGTATTGGTCTCGTCAATACCTATCGATTGATCCAAAAAAAAATTTGCCACGCAGACTCTAACGCCCATAACGCTTAAATCTGTATACCGCCGGTAGGTGGCGCATTTTAATCTCGCTTTGCTGCTTGCATATCTCCATTTAGCTGAGTAACGGGTAACTGATAGTCGAGGTACTCGACTATAGCGTTCTCCCTTGTTTTTTTATTATTTTTTACTGATTTTAATTTTACTAAGTTCTACAGAAACTGTCTTTTATTTCAACTATCAATGCTCATATATTGGCTAATCTAGCACAAATTTTTATTTGCCATAGGTTAATAATGTTCTGGAACCTCTAGGTAAACATTTTATTATATTATACCCGTTACTCGTAGAGTAAAAGGGTATACAGGCAGAAGGAAGCGTTTCCGACCCCATAAAGTATATATATTCTTGATCAGGATCACTAGCCGAGTCGATCTAGCCATGTCCGTCTGTCTGTCCGGATAAACGCTGAGATCTTGGAAACTATGGGAGCTAGGCTATTGAGATTTGGCGTGCAGATTCCTGAGCTTCTTACGCAGCGCAAGTTTGTTTCAGTAGAGTGCCACGCCCACAAACCGCCCAAAACTGTGGCTCCTACAGTTTTGATGCTAGAATAAAAATTTTAACTGAAATGTAATGTTCTTATCAATACCTATACCATAAACCGCCCACAAACTTCAAAAAATCGTAAATATGAATCGTAAATATGACTTACGCAGCGCAAGTCTGTCTACCGCCGGTAGGTGGCGTATTTAAGTCTCGATTTGCTGCTTGCATATCTCCATTTCCCTTTGGTCCCTTTAGCTGAGTAACGGGTATCTGATAGTCGAGGTACTCGACTATAGCGTTCTTCCTTGTTTACATTCGGCACGCTGCAATTCAATATGGCTGTGTTTAGCTGTACGATTTTGATAATGCGTGTCTAATGAGAACAATTTAAAAACTAGAAATTAGAACTAAAAACAAACAAGTCGAGTGCCTCGACTATCAAAAACCCGTTACTCAGCTAAGGGGAGCAAAAGGGAGATGGGAATATACACACCAAAAAATCGTTTCGGTAAATTGACCTTAAAACAAAAGAGAACGCTATAGTTAATGCCATCGACCATCAAATAACCTTTACTCAGCTAAAGAAAGTACTAGAGGGATATGATTGTTTGTGGCTAGCGCCACTTAGCGCTACCAAGCGCCACCTAGTCCGAAACGCCAACTAGCCTATAGCGACCCTAGCGGCTTGGCGACGTATAAGTGAAAAAAGCTGATTTGCTGAATGTGTAGTTCAATCTTGATTGAATTTGCAAAATTTTAACTATTACTTGGTTTTAACTTTTTAATGAATAGCCCGATTTTAAAAATGTTTGGCATGAAAATGAGTATTGATAATAAGAACAAAACCTCATTTAAATTATTCCAAAATATTAAGAAATGCGTTAGAGTGGACATGGCACCCTGCTTGAACAAGCGCTGCTCAGAAGCTCAAGAAGCTCAAGAATCTACACGCCAAATCCCAACTTTCTAGCTTTTATAGTTTCCGAGATCTCAGCGTTCATACGGAAACGCTTCCTTCTACCTGTTACATACTTTATAATATATCTTTTTTTCGAGTAACGTGAAGGGTGTGATAGCGTAAACTAAAGTTGCAAGAGAGTTAAAAAAAATAACACTGAAATTTTGTATTTATATTCCATTTTGTATTATTATTATATTATATGTTTAATTTGTATTTTGAATTTTAATTTTATTGGCTGAACCTTCGCCCTCACCTGAAAGTGAACTCACGGCCGCAAGCTTATAAGCCAAACACACTAACCGCTACGCTTGTCTTCTAATACGAATGGGGCAAAAGTGAGTACATGAATAGACTGTCGGTTTGTGGGCTCAAACAGAGGTTTACGCTCTCCTAAGGAAACATTTCAAATTAAAATTTGCAACCATTCTATCCGCTAGGCTACCCTTTAATTCGAAATTGATTTTATGTTAAGAATAACATTTATTACATTTTCTTATTTGTAAAATATAAACCACATATTAGATTCAGCCGAGTGTCACACCCACTCTAACGCCTACAAACGCCCATAACGCTAGCGGCCACATTTTTGAAGCTTATTTACATTACCTACGCCAAAAAAAATTTCTAGAGTGTCAATTTTAAAAGTTTGGATGAAAATGACACGGCACCTAGAATCCAATCTTTGGGATCAATTTGATCTTAAATAAGTGTCAAAAGTATACTACATTGTATGAAAAACCATATGTGACTCTTAATAGTCTAATTTTGACAACAACCGTGGTTAGCATTTTTTGATTGTTCGAGGTTCGAACTGTGGAAATGGAGACATGCAAGCAGCAAAGCGAGATTAAAATGCGCCACATACAGATCTAAGCGTTATGGGCGTTAGAGTTGGGTGGAAACCTTTTTTTTGGATCAATGGATAGGTATTGACGAGACAAATACATTTCAGTTAACATTTTTTATCTAGCATGAAAATTGTGGGCGGCACACTTGGTCGGTTTGTGGGCGTTAGAGTGGGCGTGGCATATTCGCGTAACAAACTTGCGCTACGTTCAAAAATATTTTCGAGATATCCGCGTTCATATTATTTTTTTGAATTTTTACGTTAAAGCGGGCGTGCAAACATTTTTGGTTCAATCGATAGGTATTGATTAGAACAATACATTTCAGCTAAAATTTGAACTCCAGCATTAACACTGTAGCCACAGTTTTGGGCGGTTTGTGGGCGTTATAGTGGGCGTGGCACCCTACTGAAACCACCGTACGAAAGAAGCTCAGGAATCTACATACCAAATCCCAACTTTCTAGCTTTTGTAGTTTCCGAGATCGCAGCGTTCATCCGGACGGAGAGACAGACGGACAGACGGACATGACTAGATCTAATCGGCTAGTGATCCTGATCAAGAATATATATACTTTATGGGAAATGCTTCCTTCTACCTGTTACATACTTTCCGACGAATCTATTATACACTTTTACTCTACGAGTACCGGGTATAAAAAGGAAATATATTTTTGTCACGAGCGGGACTCGAACCACTAACCCTCATGACCGCGCACCAAAACGATGCCTAGCAATTTAAGCCACGCCTTTTTTTTTATTTTGCGGCGGAATGCTTTTTCTAACAGAAAAGTTTTTTCGTAAAAAACTTTTTTCAAGCGACAAAGTGATCTTTATTAGGCTAAATTTGTTGACTTTCGTATCAGCGATTTTTTGACAGTCAGTAGGGTCACACTGACACCTAAATAGGGGCATGTTGATGACGATTGGGTGTATAATGGTGTTGGAAAAGAGAGTAAGCTTGTGGTCTTTCATAGGACTTTTTGTTATAAAGGTCGGGTCAACTAGCATTTGTGTCAGTGCTGCCCCATTGGTTAAGTGTGGTTCTGTATCGTCGCAGGCCCTGTATGCTGAGTTGATCCTATGTTACTGAAATGAAGTAGCAGAAAATAAAAATAAGTTCTGGCAAGGATACAGGATCCCAGACACACTGTTTCCTAAAACCCTATGCATTTAAATTGGGACGATGTAGTGTAGTGGTGGTGGTAAATTTGCAGGATTGTCATTACCACTACAACGGTAATGTCGGCTTCCAAGAAAGAAAGTCCCCTCGAGAAAGTAATTTATTAAAAAAAATATTAACGTATTGAATTTTGTTGCCTCTGTTTTATATGTTACAAGAAGTTTGCTGTTTAACTAGTGCTCATGCCAGAAATTCTTAAACTACTTAGCTTTAAGCACAATTTATCGGTCTGAGCAATTTATTTAGCTACACACACATATTTAAATTTCGAGTTTTATATACAAACCAAATAGCAGGACCATAAAAAAAGTTTTAATTTCCGGACGTGGAAGTGGCGCCCAGACAATCGCACAGAGTAGCAAACACAAGGACTACAGTGCACAACGGAATGAAACGATGCAAGTTTTGACATTTTAGAGCATTTCACGCATAAATAAAATGCCTAGGACCATGCAACATGACAGGACCTAGTCCATCCTATCCCGCCATCCTTATGCCCAACTCGCCAGGGGCACTGAAGCGCACGGACTACGCACAATGGGTCAAAAATCAGAGCTAGAACAAAAAGCGTCCAAGCCATTTTGTATACAGCTCTTAGCTTTGCTTTAGGGTTTGGACTTTACCACATTGGCCCGTTGTCAAGTTGCGGCGGGCGAAAATAAACTAGAATTCCAAATATTCGACTGCCTAACACCCTGGAGTGCGCATTGCTAATGCTAAACGTTAGTCGATTCGGTGGGCTTATTCGCTAACTAAACTATTGTGGTCCCGTAATATCGGCACCAAATAGTGGACCAACCGGACAGGCTGAGAAGGACCCCCAATTTCGAACTGCGGAATGACATGAAAGGGTAGTTGGATAGGCACAGCCTGCGGCCTGTATCTGCATTTGAATCTGTATTCGCTTCTGAATCTGTATCTAGGAGCTGCAACTGTGCAAATGGTTTCGCACTCGGCACTTCAAAGCGTCACAGTCATGGGGCGAGTGTATTTACGATTTTGTAGTATTTATGGTGCGACGCCTTTGGTGTGTGCCCTTTGGAGGGCATTGCGGCTTCAGACCCCTTCTATCCGCATTCCCTTTCTGCATTCAAAGCCCGCCTTCCCACTTTTATGTACGACTTGGCAAAGTCTCTTTACGAGCAAAGGGGTTACGGGCGGCAGTTGCCCAAACGTTTGCTGCCACAGTGGGTGGCTGGTTCGACGTTTTATGGATAGTTACAGCAAGTTTGTTGGCACTTACAACATTATAAATTTGCCATAAATTATCGTTTTATGGGTGCAGCTGATGTCACGATGGGCTACAAAGATACGTTTGATCCGAAATGAGCATTAAACGGGCCACAGTAGCAGTAACGATTAACCCCCAAAAGTATTTTTTCTAATAATATTTGTTGTACCCGTTTTTCTTATAGCCATCCTTTCACTCTCTGATGTATCGGTACTGCGAAATTCAAATTAAATAAACGTAACGTGCTCTTGTCTGCGCCCTTGCAGGCTGAGTGTCTGACTTTCAGAGTGTCAAATCTCGCAAAGACTTCCGACACTTCCACCTCCCCCTCGAATTTTTTGCCCAAAAATCAAATCTCTGTTGGTTACAATGTCTGAGGATTCTGATATACGCATTCCATGCCCAATCCTGCAGCCCATGGCTCACAGCAGTTCGGAGTCCTAGTCAATGTGGCAAGTGGCGGCGCTAAAAAGTATTGCATACCCTGCGGCGCGCGCTCCTCTTTACACATAAAATGCATATGCAAGTTAATGTTTACAATAGTCGTAAAAGTTTAATGGATTTTGCCAGCCACTGCGGGTGTAGGGCTGCGAACGACGGCTTAGGATCGTAACTTTCGAAATCAGTTTTTTTCAGGGGGCCGAACCACACTCTACTATTACTGTGTTTATGCGATGCCCATTTCATGCAATCATTTCAAACTCGTGTGTGTATTTTATGAATTTAGTCTAAATGCGTGGAGTGGTGACTCTAGCGCTGTTAGATCAATTACAAAAATACTTTCTAATATGATTATAAAATAAATGATCCGTTGTCATGGATTTTTATACCCGTTACTCGTAGAGTAAAAGGGTATACTAGATTCGTCGGAAAGTATGTAACAGGCAGAAGGAAGCGTTTCCGACCCCATAAAGTATATATATTCTTGATCAGGATCACTAGCCGAGTCGATCTAGCCATGTCCGTCTGTCTGTCTGTCCGGATGAACGCTGAGATCTTGGAAACTATGGGAGCTAGGCTATTGAGATTTGGCGTGCAGATTCCTGAGCTTCTTACGCAGTAGAGTGCCACGCTCACTCTAACGCCCACAAACCGCCCAAAACTGTGGCTCCTACAGTTTTGATGCTAGAATAAAAACTGAAATGTAATGTTCTCATCAATACCTATCGATTGACCCAAAAAAAAGTTTGCCACGCCCACCCTAACGCACATAAACCGCACACAAACTTCAAAAAATCGTAAATATGAACGTGGATATCTCGGAAACTATCAAAGATAGAGAATTGGGATTTCAGATTTAGATTCCGTAGCCTTATACGCAGCGCAAGTTTGTTACGCGAATATGCCACGCACACAAAATTTTAACTGAAATGTATTGATCTCGTCAATACCTATCGATTGGTCCAAAAAAAAATTTGCCACGCCCACTCTAACGCCCATAACGCTTAAATCTGTATACCGCCGGTAGGTGGCGCATTTTAATCTCGCTTTGCTACTGGCATATCTCTATTTAGCTGAGTAACGGGTATCTGATAGTCGAGGTACTCGACTATAGCGTTCTTCCTTGTTTTTTAAATAAAGCGACCAAGCAGTTGAAAAGTTTACGGTATTCCCTTATTAGGTGTGTGCCAAAAACTTATTATTATGTAACAGAAAAGGTTTCCAAAGTACTAATTTTCCATCTATAAAATATTACATGAAAACTTAACTTTTTGCAGTCGGCCTTGTCAGATAAATTTATACAGAGTTAGCAGACTTGCGCCTCACCATTTTACGCATTGAGGCTGAGTTCATGTCAACTTTCGAATATTATCGAATTCCCCCAGATTTCCCTAACTTCATAAAATGATTACATGAAATGGGCATCGCATAAACACAGTATATGCTGGGTGAGGGCATGAAAGCGTTTTTGTGTGTATACGCTGTAGGATTTGGGGAAAAGCCACGCCCGTTTCCTGCTACATCGCGGATGCCCAAAGTTTGCCGCTGTTTGCATAATCAAAATGCATTTATTTGATTAATATGTAACCATCTTTTTCTTTTAAAATTTTTTTAAATATTAAGAGTAACTTTTGTT